GGGTCACAGCTTCCTTCAGGCATCCACCTGCTCTGGAGTGGGGTCCCTTCCACGGGTTGCAGGTGGATCTCTGCTCCACCGTGGATCTCCATGCACTGCAGGGGGACAACCTGCTTCACCATGGTCTTCATCACAAGTTGTAAGGGAAGGCTCTCTGCTCTCACATTTCGGGCACCTCCTCCCCTCTTCTTCTTCACTGACCTTGGTGTCTGCAGAGTTGTTTCTTTCACATCATCTCACTCCTCTCTGTCACTCCGTCTCACCCTGAGGTTTTTTTTCTTTTCCCCTTTCTTAACTATGGTATCCCAGAGACGCTACCACCACTGCTTATTGGCTTGACCTTGGCCAGTGGTGGGTCTGTCTTAGAGCCAGCTGGCGCTGGCTTTAGCAAATATAGGGGAAGCTTCTCACAGCTTCTCATAGAAGCCACCCCTATAGCCCCCACACTACCAAAACCTTGCCACGCAAACCCACAACAAAGGGAAAGACCTTGCTGGTTTCAGCAAAAGGAAAGTGTTCAGGTATTTAGCACCAGCGTAAGTATCGCAGAGCTGAGATCTTTGTTGCAGAGGTGTTTCTGCAGCTCTTTCCAGTTAGTCATCTTTCCTGGAGTCCTAGAGAGCCGTCACCATTTCTTCAGTGTTGTTGTGATGTCAGCACAGTGTATAGTCAAGGATGTGCAAGTGTCATCGTCTAGGTGCTTTTGTTGTTTTTTTTTACCTCTCCCACTGCTTGAGAGGACACACGGGGAAAAGTACCTGACTCCTTAATGGAATGGCTGAAGATGTAAAAGAAATATTTACTGTGGTATGAGTGATTGTACTCGGACAATAAAGTGAATGATACAGAAATGGTTGCTGCATGCACGAAGTACCTTCAAAAACATGTTTTCGTCAATAAAAACAATCATATAGGGACTAAATGTCAATTGTAGTTGTACTGTTCAAGTGCGTATCATGTGCTGTTTGCTGCCGCTGATTTTTGTTCTTTTCTTTCAACTTCAGGAAATTAAGTGTAAAACCAATAACAAATCCTCAGTATTTGGATAATGTGGGGAATCCAGCCATTAATGGACTGTACGACTTGGCTTTGGGACCTCCGGACTCCAGAGAAGCGTGTGCAACTTGCATGCAGAACTTCAGCAACTGCCCTGGTCATTTTGGCCATATAGAACTGCCTCTGACTGTCTACAATCCTCTGTTTTTTGATGTATGTACGCTTAGTTATTGTCTTGCTGGTGAAAATGGGTGACGGTGCGCAAGCTGTCATACAGTTTGTCCTTGAAAATACTAAAGGTGCTGAGATCTGTTTTCTCTCTAGGTGTAATAATAGCAAATGTAGTAGAAAAAGTTTGTTGTGTCATGATACTTCAATAGAAACAGACTCCTTAGACTTTTGCAAAATATATACTTTGTTATAACTACTACTTTACTCAATATTGATGAACAAGAGAGGAGGAATGTTGATCACTAAACTGTATGACCGACTGGAAGATCTGATGCCTTAATTAAATGGATGGGACTGTAAAAATTATTCGTTGTTTCCTTTAAATGACTACTACAGATTTATGTGAACAGCTACCGACTTTTATCATAGGATCTCCAAGTGCTGCCTGGACATTCAGGGCTTGTTTTTGCTCTGAACTAACATAGTGCAGAGATTTGACTTGATGCACGTCTTTTGGGAAAGGTGTTACAAGCTTGTTTTGAAAGCTACTGGTGATGGTCAAGCTACACGTTTCTCCTAAGTGCATCACGTGGGCGTTTTTTGAAAGGGTCGTCTTTTAAATATAAAAGGATTTCTGGCTGTAAGGGTAGGATTTGCCTCATTTTGGCCTACTGAAAGTTAGCTGTGTAGTCTAATTGGTACTTTTTAGCTCTTTCTGGAGTCTGAGGAGCGGGGCTGTTTGCAGAGGAAGATTCATCTAGCCTGTAATGGGAACCTGACATGGAATGAATTTCCCTCCTGAGGTGCTAGTCTCATTTACAGTAGCTGGCTCCTGTATGGGCTGCTAATTGAGACTAAAAACCTCACTTTCAGATGACTGAAGTTAGATGAGGTCCATCCCACTTCTAGTGCTGACCCAGCTTTGAAGTAAAGTGGGTCTATTTGACTAAGGAGTGAAACCATGCAGTAGTAATTCCCAGCCTTCAGGCCACCCATGCTGTGTGCAGCTAGAGCCGCGTTGTGTGAGAGCTATGCTAGATAGTAAAAACCACTGACGTTGTTCTGAAGCTGGAGGAGGGTGTGGTTACATGAAGAATCTTGAGGGACACTGATAGTGCTTGCGACCAGAACATTTCATTTTAGTGGTGTGTAATTTTGGGTACCACATTGTCCTTTACGGGACAAGCTGTTAGAAGCTGTAGTTGCGGAAGAGCAGCCTTGGTCCCAGAGCTGCTGTAGGTATGACAGGTTTTTCCTCCTGACCTCTGTGTCTGTTATGTAGATGGCCTGCAGATAGTTTGTCTCCAGATCATGCTTTGCGTATGAGTTTGTGTGGCTAAAATAATTTTTTTTTAATTCTAATTCTTTATGATTAAATATAACAATTAGTCTAATTTCTCAATTATAGGAGCACTTTCTTTTAAGTTCAAACAAATCTATCCACTTGCTTACTGTGCAGGCTAGTAAATCTGCCAGGATAACTTTTTTCCCTGTGTTCTCTCCAGAAATTATACCTTCTAATTCGAGGTTCTTGTTTGAGTTGTCACACGCTGACATGTACTCGAGCTGTGGTTCACTTGCTGCTAAGTCAGCTGAAGGTTCTGGAGAAAGGGTTGCTTCATGCCGTCCATGATCTTGAAGTCATTCTGAACAGGGCAAGTACTGTGTATTTCTCCATTCTTTGAGTTGATAATCCTGTAACGATACAGCTATCCCAGTTTCTTTTATTCTGTTTCTTTTAGTTTTTAGGTCAATGTGCAGATCCAACAGGTTCAGAAATTGAAGAAGAGTTAAATCACCATGTTCAGGAAATACTACAAA